TCCAGTCATTCCCCTCTGCACTCCCCCCCTTGCTCTAGGAGCGCTAGGGTTACAGATGCCAACTAGCACACCTCACTTTTTAAATTGTGGAGTTCAGATATCCAAACTCAGGTCACCAGGCCTGTATAACAAACACTTAAACTAAGCTAATCCTCCTTGTGCTCCATCGCTTATTTAACTTGGAATTTCTCTCTTTTTTTTTTATTTTTTTAAGAATTTTATTTTATTCTGTGTATGAGTGTTTTCCTCCAAGTATGCCCATGGAGGTCAGACAAAGGCTGGAGTTATAAGCATTGTGAAGCACCATGTGGTACTAGGAATTGAACCCTCAACCTATGCAAGAACAAATGCTCTTAACTGCTGAGCTATCTCTCCAAGTCCTTAACCTAGAATTTCTCACCCATCTCTATTTTGGCTATTTGTGCCATGTGACTATTATGAAACAGCCCAATTGGCACCTGAAGTATTTTTTTTTAAAGATTTACTTATGTATACAGTGTTCTATATGCCTACAAGCCAGAGAAGAGGGCACCAGATCTCATTACAGATGGTTGTGAGCCACCATGTGGTTGCTGGAACTCGAACTCAGTACCCCTGGAAGAGCAGCCAATGCTCTTAACCTCTGAGCCATCTCTCCAGCCTGGTACCTGAAGTCTTGACAAAGAATCTGAATATAGGGGGCTGGAGAAATGGCTCAGTGGTTAAGGAGCACTTGCTGTTCTACTAGAGGACCAAGTTCACCTCCCAGCATCCACATCCAGCCACTCCTAACTTCCTGTAGTTCAAGCTCCATGGAATCCACTGTCTCTCTTCTGGCCTCCATGGACACTCAGACACAAGTGGCATATACTCACATAGACATTCACACTACACATAAATAAATACAAATCTCTTTTTTAAAGAAAAAGGAGTCAGGCCTAGTGGTGCATGCCTTTAGTCCCAGCACTCAAGAGGCAGAGGCAGGCAATCACTCTAAGTTTGAGGCCAACTGGACTACAAGGCAAGTTCCAGACCAGCTAAGGCTGTACATAGTGAGACCCTGTCTCAAAAGAAAGGGGGCTGGAGAAGCACAACAGGAGAAGAAAGAGGGAAAAGGAGAGGGTGGAAAAGGAAAGGCTGGAAAAATGGTTCACTGGTCAAGAGCATTAGCTTTCTGCCATAGGACCAGGGTTCAATTCCCAGCAACCATATGGTAGCTCACACTATTTCTAACTCCAGTCCCAGGTAAATCTGATGGCCTCTTCTGGACTCTGTAGGCACTGCACACACCTAGTGCACAGACAGACATGCAAGCAAAACACCTACAGACACAACAAATTTTAAAATAAAAAAAAATCACAAAAAAGAATCTGAATGACAATACCATTGGACTTGGTGAAAATTCAGATTTAAGTCTATATTATGGCATTTTTGAAATAGAATCTAAAATAATTATAGGCAAGGAAACAACCAAATGTAACAATTTCAGGGCTGAATTTTAGACTAGAAAAATTACAGCTGTAAAAATGATATTAAAGGGTTGGCAAGATGGCTCATCAGGTAAAAGCATTTGCTAGTAAGCTACCAACTGAGTTGAATCCCATGTACCCATGGTAAAAGACTCAACTCCTGCAAGATTGCCTCCAACCTCTACAAGCATATGGGTACATACACATATACATGAAAGCACACACATATGCATGCACACACGTGACAACATAAATGTTACTTTAAAAAAGTAAATATAATTATAGTAACGTCTTTTGACTCATCAAAATTTCCTTGGATAGTATCATTGAATTATGGTTATTACACACTACATTAAACACTTGGAGAAGGTAGGTAAGGGATGGTATATGGACATACACTCTACTATTTTGCAATGTTATTATTTTTGTGTTTTTGTAAATCTAAATTTATTCCAAAATGAAAATAAAGTAGAACAGGAAAAAAAATTAAGAGTACCTCTAATACAGAAATTAAAATTAATGGTCAAAATAGCAATATTGAATTAATATTTCGAATTTTAAATAAATTTACATCAACTTACTTTTTGGGTTTCACAGTTTGGCTCACAGCTATGATTCATGAAACGAGAGCAATTCCCTTTTTGAGTGGCATCTATTATCTGGGTGAAAGAAGAGTTTTTAAATGAGATTTTAAAATATCCATGCATTTTGAAAAAGAAAGCATTAAGGCAATTTTAAGGTAAAAAACACATACATCCCTTTGCTTCTTACCCTATCTTAGAGAACTTTCTATAACAAAGTAAAAAATGGCTAATTGCTTTTTTGGAAGATTTGCTAAATACAGATAGTTTAAAGGCAAAATTATCTCTTGGGGCAGTCAGTGTTTGTCTAGAATATAGAAATCCTGGGTTCAACCATCAATACTTCATAAAACCAGGCATAGTAGCACATGCCTGTAATCCTAGAAATTGAGAGGCAGAGGCAGGAGGATCAGAAGTTCAAGGTCATCCTGAAGTACTTACCAAGTCACAGTGTCTTATGCCTTTAATCCAAGCACTTGGGAGGTAGGACAGGAGGATCACTAAGCATCCAAGCCAGCCTACTGAGTTCTAGGTAAGCAAAGCTACAAAATGAGATCCTGCCTCAAAAACAAAACAGAAAATAATGTCTTGTCTCTCTTACCTACTTTTAGCCATTTCTTATATTTTACGGCATCTCAATCTCACATGTGAAATAACTCCTTTTAAAACAAGTGCTGTGCCATAGTTTAGTAGCTCTACAACTTGAGTATATGTTCAAATGCCTGGAGTAAAACTCGGAGAGGTGATAATAAGTGGGTTTAGAGGGAGGTCCCTAGATTTAGCATTTCTACCTTGACTATAGAGGCAGATGTAAGGATCTAAGCCACACATTGAAGAGACTTACAATAATGCAAAAGACTTCATTAACACGTCATTTCTCACAAAAAAATGTTGAGAAACTATTTTTTAAGAGTTATTATTTGTATCAACAAGTAACATGCTCATGAATATAACTTTTAAATATGACAGACATTTCTAAATATCTCAGCATTAAAATGTAACACACATAAAAACATTCTGGGGAATCATCTATGATTTTTAAAGTTGTCATATGAAGCATGTATGCTTGTATTTACATATAAACATCACCTTCTCCCATTCTTTAATAAACAAATAGAAACTATATATTGTTCTGATCCTTTCTGTTTTGTTTTGAGGCAGAGTTTTACATAGCACAAGCTGGCCACAAATTCCCTATATAGATGAAGATGGTTTTGAATTCCTGATCTTCATGCCCCCATTTCACCAGTGCTGAAATTATAGTTCCTGGTCACCACGGCTGGCAATTTTTGTTCATTTCTTCTTTTTGTTACTTTAATGACAAATCAGTATACCACACACACACCCATCCCCAATGCAACAGTGTTCATATCTGTTCCAAAATTAACACATGCATGCTGCTCACCTCATCATTTTTCAGGGCCATGAAATAGTAGTGGATGTTTTTGTTCCGTGCATATTCTTTCACCCGGGCTTTAAACTCTTTATGATCAAGTACCTCTCCACAGTATTCCAGGACAAAGGTGTTCCTACAAAACAATGAGAGAATAGCACTTACAGCCTAGGAACTCTACTGGAAATTAACAAATCCAAACAAAACTACTAAGAAATGTTGAAAAATATTTATCATGTACTCAATGCCCAGGCTGGCCTTGAACCTGAGATTCCCCCTGCCTCAGTCACTTGAGTAGCAAGAGAATAGGCATACATCACCTACTGCTTTCCTAAAATACTTCTTTCCTTTAAAAGACCATTGAGTCTAAGAAACTTTTATGCATAGTTCCAAGAGGCATACTCTTTCTCTATCTGCATATTAAAACAAATGTTTGTGCTGAGAAGAAGCTCACTAGTAAAGTACATACTTGGCATCATGCAAGGCCCCAAGTTAACCCTTCAGCACCACACACACACACACACGCACATGCACACTCACAAGCAGTTTAAGTATGGCTTACAAACATCAAGTCGGTCAGTCACAGCTAGGAAAGCACTGAACAAACTAGGACACTGAAAATGGTTAGGAAACATTACATACAGCTGCAGCCCCTCTGTTGCCCTTACTTTCAGAGTTCTTTAATGATAATGAAAGTCAAATCTGTCTCTGGCTTCTTGGCTGGTCTCACTACCCAGAACATGTATCAGGAATTTGCATAAAGCAGCTGTACAAAAATGGCAATGAAGGCCAGGCGTGGTGGCACACACCTTTAATCCCAGTACTGCCATCTCTGTGATCTCTGTGAGCTTAAGGCCAGCCTGGTCTATAGACTGAGTTCCAGGACAGGCTCCAAAGCTACATAAACCTTGTCTTGAAAGGGCAGTGGGATCTCTGTGAGCTTAAGGCCAGCCTGGTCTATAGACTGAGTTCCAGGACAGGCTCCAAAGCTACATAAACCTTGTCTTGAAAAAAATAAACAAAAAAAAGGCAACGAAGGAGCTTTATATACAAAGAGATATTCCTAAGAATAACTCAAGATAACTCTATTTCTTTCACACCAGAAAACAAAAGGAGAGGAAGGGGAGAGGAAGAAACTACATAAAAGGTGTAAAGCAGCATCCAGGCTTCAGACCTGGATTTGGCCTAAAGACCAAATGGAAGTTGCCTAACTCTGCTATGAACAAGGATAATGAAGTTTCACAAGTAACTCCAATGAGGTCATGTGAAGTAATAACAAGTTACATAATGTATACTCTACAACCAACTGGAAATCATAACACGTCTACATTATAATATGTTCGAATGCTTTTCAGACAGATAGCATAGTACAGCCCATTTAGAAAATGTTTAGAATAAAGACTGAGAAAACTATATAAGAGTGAGGGACAAATTTTACTCTTACAGAAGTGAATTGTCCAGGGGCCTGTATAAATATACCAAAAGTTTAAATAAATGATAACTACTATGGATATCTAACACCTAAGGGATAGTAAAGATTAACACTGATGAGCTCAAAATTGGCAAATTACAAATCTTGGACCAAGGAATGAAAGAATAATTAATTCTCTAATGAGTCAACTAGAGACCTGACATCTTTTGTATGTATAGAAAGATGTTATTTATTTTATGTGACTAGTGCTTTGTGTGCATATATGTCTGTGTACCATGTGCATGCCTGGTGCTGAAGTCAGAAAAGGGCATCAGATCCCCTGGAACCAGAGTTACAGATGGTTCTGAGCTGCTGCCAAGTGGGTGCTAGACCCCAAACCCTGGGACTCTGAAAGAACAAGTGCTTTTAACCACTGAACCATCTCTCCAGCCTGATAGATGTCTGACTTTTTTTTTTAATGTAATCCTGGCTGGAAAAACAAAAACAAAAAACAAAACATAAATTAAAAAAGGGAGGGGCTGGAGAAATGGCTCAGAGGTTGAGAGCACTGGCTGTTCTTACAGAGGTCCTGAGTTCAATTCCCAGCAACCACATGGTGGCTCACAGCCATCTGTAATGAGATCTGGTGCCCTCTTCTGGCGGGCAGGGTACATGCAGATAAAACACTATACATAATAAATGAATCTTAAAAAAATAAAAAATAGAAAAAAAAATAAAAAAGGGAGGAAAAGCAACAATTGCATACAAATAAAACTCAGCTGGGTGAAGTGGCATGTGTATTTAATCCCAGCAACTGGGAGGCAGAGGCAGCTGATCCCTGTGAGTTCAAGGCCAGCCTGGGCTACACTATGAGACCCTGTCTCAATAAACAACAAAACTCAAGTAGGCACAGAAAAATATAGCCAATAAATAAAGTTTTGTAATAGCCCATGACAAACATGTTTAGATTTCAGTAATAACAACCTAATACTAAACCTAAAAAGTAAAATTATTATCTTTATAATCAATATTTAAGGAGCTAGAGAGACGGCTCAGCAATTAAGAACACTGGCCGTTCTTCCAAAGGACCAATGTTCATATCCCAGCAACCAAAATGGCAGCTCACAACCATCTGTAATTCCAATTCCCTGGGACCCAATGCACTCTCCTGACTTCTTCTGGCACTAGGCACACAATTGGTACACAGACGTACAACGAAGCAAAACATCCATACATATAAAGTAAAAATAATCAAGCCTGGGCCGGGAGGTGGTGACAAACGCCTTTAATCCCAGCACTCAGGATGCAGAGGCAGGTGGATCTCTGTGAGTTCGAGGCCAGCCTGGGCTACAGAGTGAGATCCAGGACAGGCTCCAAAGCTACACAGAGAAACCCTGTCTCGAAAAACAAAAAACAAAACAAAACAAAAAACCAAAAACACAAAAATGGGACTTTTTTTCCTTTTTTTGATTTGAGACAGGGGTTCTCTGTGTAGCTCAGCCTGCCCTGGAACTCACTCTGTAGCCCAGGCTGGCCTTAAACTCAGAGATCTGCCTGGCTCTCTCTGCCTCCTGAGTGCCAGGATTAAAGGCGTGTGCCACAACCACCTGGCCAAAATAGGACTTTTACTTATTTTCTAGAAATCAATTTAACAAACTAGTTACCAAGTAGTCATTCTACATAATAACCATTACTAAACACCACTGAAATAAATCATTTTCCTATAAAATGGCTAATCAAATTCAGTAACACAAAAATGAAGTGAAAGGTGAAACAAAACTTACGAAGGAAGGTCCTTGGCAGCTCTCAGACCCCAGCCTTTCTTTTCTGTCAGTATGACTTCCACATCTGCATGCTGCTTTCGCTGAAACCGTCTATTCGAACAATAATCCCCATTTGGACATCGAGAGGAGCTGAAATGAGAAATGGATAAAAGATAATTCTTTAAATACCATAAAGAATTTTAACATCTTTGCAAGATATCCCATTATTATTGCATAGTTTATTTGTGGCTAACCAATGACCCTTACTCAATATTATTACTTCCATCACAAAAGCAATCCTTAGAATTCAGTGTCTATATTGCCCCTGAGGGAACATACCCACAATATAGTCTAGCCATTTGATCATCCAAAGAAAAACTTGTCTGCCACTTTCTGATGTCTAGAATACAATTCCCATCAGTAATAATCTTTGAATTCACTGACAGTTACTAGATTTGCTAATCTAAGCTGCACCAACGGACCTTATTAAACTTTTATGTTATCATGTATATGTTGTCTGACCACAGTTATTAATATTCTTTAAATTATATGTATTTATTTATCTTGCATGCATGTGGAAATTAGAGTACAACTCTAGAAGTCAGTTCTCTCCTTCCATTATGTAGAAGCCAGGGGAATCAACACTCAGGTCATGAGGCTTCATAATAAGGACTTTTACCCATTGAGCCATCTTGCCAGCCCAGTTACTAATTTTACACCAATGGACTCTTCATATTAATCTTATTTTGCTAAAGTTTAACTTATTTCGTTTAAATGCACTTCCTCTTACTTCCATTCAAATCATCAATTTGGTCTTTTGAATGCAACTACATACATGTACACACACACACAAACACAAAATTAAAAATAGAAATAAGGGTTGGAGACACCGCTCATTGGTTAAGAGTACTGGCTGTTCTTCCAGAGGACTCGAGTTCAATTCCCAGCACCAACATGGCAGCTCACTCACAACTGTCTGTAACTCCAGTTCTGGGAGATCTGACACCCGCACACAGACATACATGCAAGCAAAACACAAATACTCATTAAAAAAATTTTTTTTAATATTTTAAAAAATAGAAATAAAGGTGTGTTTTCTTATTTTCCTAAAATATATGTTTTTTATTTTTGTGAAACTATAACAAGAACAAAAATAAAAGCTCAACTTTGCTGCAAAAAAATTTTTTTTCATTAACATTAAAAATAAAGAGCTCTGGAATGGAATGGTAGCTCATTCCTATAATCCCAGCATTGAGGAACCATAGGGAGGCAATTTCCTAGAGTTTGAAGCTAACCTGGACTACAGAGTAAGTTTATGGCCAGACTGGGCTACAAAGCCATAACTGTCTCATCAAAATAGAAAAAAAAAAAAAAAAAAAGGTACCTATTTACTATGTAGGACTGGCTGGCCTCAAATCTAACAGAGATTTGCCTGCCTCTTCCTCTAAGTGCTGGGATAAAAAGTATGCACTGCCTAGATTAATTTTTCAATGTTAAAATAATCAGGCTGGAGAGATGGACCAGCTTTTCTTTCAGAGAATTTGGGTTCGAATTTCAGCACATATATGGCAGCTAACAACCATCTGTAACTCCAGTTCCAGGGCATCTTCTTTTGGCTTCCACAGGCACCCAGGCATGTACTTAGATATAAATGCAGGCAAAAACATCTATGCACATAAAAAAATAAGAAAAAAGAATTTTCAATTAATCAGATTAGTTTTAAAAGGCTTTCAAGCCAGGCAATGAAGGAGTACGTCTTTAATCCCAGCACTTGGAAGGCAGAGGCAGGCAGATCTCTGTAAATTCAAGGCCAGCCTGGTCTACACAGCAATTCCAGGATAACCAGGTCTATATAGAGAAACCCTTGTATCGAAAAACCAAGGGGGGGGGAGGGGCTGGAGAGATGGCTCAGTGGTTAAGAGCACTGATTGCTCTTCTAGACGACCCGGGTTCAATTCCCAGTACCCAACTCACAGCTCACAGCTCACTGTAACTTCAGTTCCAGGTTACCTGACACCCATGGCAAAGCACCAATGCACATAAAATTAAAAAAAAAAAA